AGGGGCATCTACATATATGTATATAAATAATATATATTCAGTGCTTTTAAACTACAATAATAATTTTGATCTATAAGTTATGTCAGTTGGTAACCAATCTGTGATCATCACTGCAGACAGTTTGTTACTCTTTTATTTGACTTAGTATTTTCCTTGCATTTGGAAAAGCCCCCAGAAGCTCTCCTGTTAATGAGAAATGTCATAAAAGGTATCTAAAGTCATAGAACTTTTGCCTTTGTTTAGAAGAGAAATGATTCCACCTTTGGGTGGGTGTTAGCCCCAAGCCAAGGAAATGAGCAGTTTGTATGTCCTTTTCTGTGATGAACCACTTTTTCCCAACACAAAAAGAAATTCAGTTCCTGGTAAGTCTGGAATCAGATACAGTTGACAGGCATTTTCACATTCTGTGCGTGATGAGAGTATCTCCTAGATATTTGCCATTAACAAATTGTTTCTTTGGATGTTTGAGCTCCTGAATCATTAAGAGCACGTGTATCAAGTAGCTTAATTGGTGTCACTGTGAATGCGAAGAGGTTTTAAAACAGAGATTGAAAAGCAAGTGACTATACTAGAAAACAAATAGCAGTGTACTTCTTACAGAAAATAAATTGAATGCTTTCTTGGTGAAACAAATGGAGGACTTCATATATTTCTTCTGTGAAGTATAAAAGTGAAAAGAAGCCAAATAAACCAGACTCATTTCCTGACACCACCATTTATTCTACTGGCTGAGAAACAGAGTTATTCGTTTAAGATGTCACTGTTTGAGCCTTTATCCAAGTATTTTATAGAAATCTTAAAGTATTCAAAATAAATCTATCAGACGATAGATTTCATGAGCTGTGATTGACCTGAATAAATTATCTTTCCTTCAGGTAAATACACTGACACTAAATCATTAAATATACTCCCAAAGTCTTTAGAGCACACCCTAAAGTATGTGCAAGCAAAACTCAGCTTGGGAAACACAAGTGTAATTTTCTATTACTATTTTAGTAATGGAGTACATACCTTTCCACATAGAATTATGAAGTCATCAGGTTTGAGTGTTAATATGGGCTTTACGGTCATATGGTCTTCTAGCCACCTTCTAAGAAGTCTCTAAATTATTATTTTCTAAAACAGCGTTGTATTTATGCTAATATAGACAGAAATTTAATAAATATGCCTTTCAAAGACATAAAAAACTTGAAATTTTTTTCTCTTCTCATAAACAATTTGATGCTTCAAACATATTTAACACTGAGGGTGAGTTACTCATTTTTTTAGAGTATTGTTTCTTCAAGTTGAAACCCTAAACATTCAGACATTATAGACTGTAAAACAATGCATGTCTAATTAATTTGGAGACAGTGGTTTTGGAATTTGGGTGAGGACCTATGTATAACTGAATTTTGTCCCTATGACCTTCAGAGCTATGTATATAGATGGAGGATTCTGAGTAGTTGATGACCTAAATTACTTGTCTGTAACTTCCTTTGCCTTATAGTTCTTGGTTATGACATTTCAGCCAGGGTAGAAAAAAAATTGTCTGCCATTGGTACCTGATATCCTCTTTGTTATCTACATTACTAAGCTTTGTTGCTATTTTTTTTTTCAGTTTCTCAGCATCATAGGAATTGTTATTACCAAATGCTTTCGAAATAACAATTTACTATGATTACTTAAGTATCGTGCCTGTATCCTCTAGTGTGAACCTAAATTACTTGTAATATCTATATCATGTATGTGTGTGTGTGTCTGTGTGTGTGTATATATATATATATTAAATTTAAAAATAAGTGAGCTTATTTTTATATTTCAATTCAGATTATCCCTGAAATGACTTATGATAATACTCCAAAATTTTATCTATATCCTATTTCTTTACTTGAGATTCTTTTCTCTCTTCTTTGTGTGTGTGTATGTGTGTGTGTGTGTTGAGAACGACTATTTGCAACTTTCAAATGTATATACAGTTTTGTTAACAGTAATTACCATCCTCTATATTAGATCCGTAGAACTTAATTGTCTTTTAATTGATTATATTTCTGGATAAAATATGAAACAATAGCCTAATCACTATTATCAGTCTCTTTATATAACACTCCTACTTTACACACATATAACATTATATCACATTTCCCCCAGTATTTTCCCCTAGAAGATGATTATTTAAAGTACATCAGTATCACTGAAAAATAAGTGTAGTAGGATTACAAATTAAATCCTGACAATCATTTTATTAAGAACTGTTTTAAAGGTATATTCAAATACAGAAAAATAAGATATTTGGGGGGAGTATCCATAGGGAAGATCATCAGTGTAGGATGAGTATAGTACTGTTATCTAAATTTCAGTGTCTTTTCTTGGAGTGATGTACAAAACTATTGTTAGGTACTATGGAACTGTCAGAAAGTGACTTGTAAGCCCTAGTTACAAGGATTACCATTTGTTTAGGGCAGTAAAGTTACTTAATTATATACTCAGGGTGGGTTATTAGCCAACAGGAGATGCTTTGTGTCAGTGGCTTGAGAACTCTGTTGACAAAATAGTTGATAAAAATAGTCTCATAAAAGCACACTCCCAAACAGTCCTTATTACTCATAGGAAAGTCATGTAATTATTATCAACATTTTAAAAACAAAAAAAGAAAAAATAAGCTTAACTCAAACAAGCTAAAATGTCTCTCTGTGCCATAAATTTAACCACTTGTCCTGAAATATAAATATTCACAGTACATCAAAATTTTTCAGAACACTAGTACATTCAATAACTTTTTCTGTTGTTTTCTTGAGGAGAATTAATTTACGATTTTTTTTTTCAATCCACACTGCCTTTGCAAAGCAGAGAATAATGCTGCTGACTTGTGTTTTCTGTACTTTTAATTACTTTTTTTCTGGCTGCAAATATTTGCTGGGTGATGTGGATAAGTAGACAGACAATGGTAGAAACTCAGAAGACATAGTTCTTGCAATAAATTCACTAAGAAACTAGAGTGAGAAATAAACATGCCTGAATTAATAAAGCAAAATCTAATAAATATAAAGTGATGTTAGAATGATATTAAAGTTTATCAGGGGACTAAATTAATTCTTCTTGGAGGCGTCATAGAGACTGCTTGGAATAATAATTTGCTTGCAGTTAGTAGACCTGGATTTAAATATCATCTCTGCCATTTACTGTCTGTGTGACCTTACACTTTAATATCTGTGAGCATCAGTTACAGGTTAATCCTCATGTCTAGTTGATAGCTTTGTTGTAAGGAACAGAAACATTGACTACCAATGACAAAAATTCTTGGCACAATGATTATGAGCAATAAATAGTGTGCATCTAATAATATATATATATATAGTTTTTTGTTTCCTAGTAAATATTACTGGTGACTTTTATGAAAGGTACTAAGAAAGAGGTGCTGTTCTAGGTGGTTGGGATGCAGCAAAGACAGGAGGACAGATAAGGGTGCAGGGAAGAAGAATGGATGAATGTGATGAAGGAACAGGTGCAAGGTGGGTGGGGAGGATATAAAGTAGAAATGCCAAGGAAATGCTTTTCAGGAGATGGGGTTCACACTGGCACCTGAGAGAGTACAGGGAGTCAAACATATGGAAAATTTTAAGGCATTTGGAAGCAAATGGCACATGAAGTGCAAATGTACCAAGAGTAGGAAGTAGCTTCCTTGGCACATCTTTAAAAAGGAAGGATGACAAAGTGCCTGGAACCTAGTGGTCTGGGGAGAGAATTAGCATTTTGAAGAATATTCCTTAATGCTGGCACTGGTCTTTTAGAGACCAGCAAACCTATCTTTAAGACAATTCTACAAACATGTCTAGAAACCTTCTGAACAAAGAGACTACATGCAAATAGGAAAAAAAGATAAATAGCTGGTATAAAGCTTTTATGTATTTGCAAAGTGTTTTACATAAGGTATTTTATTTGATCACTGTAATAAACCCATGAGGTTTGTAAAGCACAGATTACTCCTTCAAAGTCAGACAACTTTTGAGCAGGAGCAGTGGAGATAAAGAGTGTTAAAAATATATACAGATTTTAATACTGAATTATGGGT